GATCAATTACAAATTATATGGGTTATTCCCCACCATTCAAATCTTGACCAATAGGAGCATGGGATTTGACATCACGTGGTGCGTATGATATCGATAATTTTTATGTAATACCACGCCTGTTGCTAAGCAATAAACAAAAGTTTTCCGTAGGAATTTAACCCGAGACAGTTGAAGAAACATCAAAGAGTAGTGACATTTGTGAAAATGATGGAGAAAAAAAAGACGATTTGGAGAAAAAAATGTTCATTTTGCCACGAAAATGTCAAATCCCAGCTCCCATTGATCGAGATTTGAATGGGGGGGAATAACCCGCACGGTTTGGGTACGGTCAGCCGAAACTGTATTTGTCGAAGTATGGTATGTCTCCGAGTTGGAAAGTCACGGATCATGCAAAATAGGGAGTCGGTATGACTCCGACCCCGTATTACATGGAGTATGACAAGTTCGATACAGTTAACATTCAGAAAGTATTTTTCCCAGAACTACAAAAATACGGGAATCGATTATCATGGACCCATAAAAATGAGGATAAGATTTATATAGGATTAAGTGTTATACCATTTCATGAATTTTCATATCGTGAATTATTCAGATGTTCATAAATGTGGTTCATAATATTAACGGGATCATTAATAATCCAAACCCATGTTAAGGGGCGTAAATATTTTCTGGAACCTTTGAATTACCAAATAATCATTTTTCTAATAGGTGATTTATCAAATATGCGTTTATCTATTATCTAATGAATCAGCGTAAGAATTTATAGAGAACCTTTTTATTCTGAATAATAATTATTCGCACCATGGAAAACCAAGAGTGCACAATTATCTAATAGCGTATTAGTCCGGAACGGTTACTGTCCAATCTTTAATCCTTCTAAATGGAAAATAGATAGATCATGAATTAATCCAGGTTTTGAATAGTTGTTAGAGTAGATCCCCCAGAAGACCGTTGTAATCTATATTGCCGGTAATGAGGTATCTGCCTTGTTGACCATCGCACTCGATTGATGAACAGTTCCATCAATGGGTTAGTCTCAAGTTTAAAAGATGGCGGCTTAACCCTTCTTGGAACAACCAAAAGAGAGCTTTCGCATTTGATGATAATTTTTTAAATAATTTCTCATAATATGACCGATTTTTGAAAAATTTGTCATCATAGGTCAGATAGGATATTCTATATAATATTCCCTATTGAACATGTCAATCGAAAGGGCAAAAAACGTATATAAAATTTAATAGAAGTTCTATATAAATATATGGTATATAGGTAGCGATTTACACCCTCAATGACGAAAAATAGATATCATTCGACTATATGTATGATATATTCGATATCATTCGAATATATCATACATATATTTTTATCACTTATCGGTGATTATTGGCTTTATGGCTAACCCCATACTCATCTAAAAAAAAAATCCTCACTTAAAAGAAACTATTTTTTTTTTCGATGGGAAATATATGAAGTTATTTCCGCCCTGAAATTCGCGACGAGGAGATTCCCTACTGTTATTTGGCTACACGTAAGAATTTTTTTTATAGAAAACCCTGCAGAATTCCATAGGATTTTCTATAGAACTACTATTGGATTTTCTATACTTTTTTGCGGTTTCTATTGACATGTTCCACAGAAAATATATAGAAAATTGTCAATAGAAAAAAAAAAGTACAGGATTTTTTTTTTCCATAAAATTTTTTCTGTTCGAGAGAAACGGTGGCTCTTGTTAAGAAAAATTATTTCAATTTATACATAAACTTTTTATATTCCAACGATGAATCTTAAAATTGAAATTCATTTCATTATTTCCGGCAATCAATATAGGCACGTAACGATAATCACTATTCGTACACGTTTATTTTCGTCATAAATCTTCTAGATACGGTTGCTGTTACAATACAATTGTGTCTATTCAATTTCAGTCCATTCCTCAATAAAATTTCTACCTGAAATGTTGGTGGTTGGAGATTATTCTGTTGGGCACTGAGGCTAATTTAAAAACCTGAGAGCAAGTTAATATTTATCGAAGAAGAACCTGAGATTAAGTGTTTATTGATTATTGATTTTTAGAGAGACTCGAGTGGTATTAGGAAATACTGGCACTATGTGGCTACTTTTAAGTCATCAGGAAGTCTCGAGAGAGAACTGGGATGGGGGTAAAACGACTATTTATGATTTTTTCTCAAATTTTCCAGAAAATAATAACAAAATTCTTGCAATTTTTAAGAGTTCCTTTTTTATAGGAAAATTTTGTTGCTGAAAAATAAATTGATTTGTAAAACATTCCATAAAATACTATTTTTCAGGCCCATTTCATCGTAACAATGAACGAAAATACTGCAAATTCAGACCATATTTTACTGGAATTTTAAATGCCGGAAAATTTTTTGGAGAATTTTCCGTGACTGGATTTTAGACAATCACAGCGCAGTATTCAAGTTCTGGGTACTCTTTTGTTAACAAATTTTTTAGGCAATTGCACACTAGCTTCTGGAAATTGCACCCGACAATTACATAGTAGCTCCACACTTGTTTCTAACCAACCGAATATTTTGCCGCGGAAGAAACTTTTGTGTTAAATTATGTAATAAATACTGAATCTCGAATACTACTCTCCGTTTGGCCAAAATCCAGTGCCGGAAAATTCTCCGCCGAATATCTCTCGACCTTCATAATTAATCGCAATATTTCCCGCTAATCACGTACGAAAATTTTCAATAGAAAACCCAAAAGAATTCTATAAAAATTTCTATAGAACTTCTATTGGATTTTCTATACATTTTTGGCTGTTTCTATTGACATGTTCGATAACGAATATTGAATAGAAAAATATCAATAAGAAAAGAAAGTCAATAGAATTTCATTTTTCGATAGAATTTTTCGGACTCAGATTTTCTAATTTTCTTTTTTTTTTTTTTTTTTCTTCTCTTCAAAAAAATCGAATGAAAAAACTTGGAAAATTTAAGCCAAAAAAAATATAGACAAAGAAAGTTTATAAACTTTTTCTATAGAATTCGCTATCGAACACATTAAAAGAAACAGCAGAAAACGTATAGAAAATTATTTAGAAAGTCTATAGAAATACCGATAGAATTCTTTACGGATTAAAAAAAAAAATCGAACGTGATTATGACGGTCTTAGGATATTATAACTGAAAATCATGCTTAATTGTGACAACGAGTTCACAAAATTCAAAACGTTAGCTGAAATCGCCGAATGTCACTAGAAGTTTGATGAGGATTTAACAGAAAAGTTTGAATTTTCTTCAAATTTCAACCTGTACAATTAATTTTATGAATTATTCTCTTCTATTCTATTGTCTTCGATAAATTGAAGTCAAGTTCGCAACATTGGAAATTCCAATTGACTTATCACTGAATTTTCAAAGAATTCCTAACCGTTACAGTTCTTCACGTACGAAAATTCGAAATAGAAAACCCTAAATAATTCTATAAAAATTTCTGCAGAACTTCTATTGGATTTTCTATACGTTATTTGCCGTTTCTATTGAAATGTTCGATAGAAAATATTCTATTGAAAATTCTCCATAGAAAAAAATAGTCAATAGAATTTTATTTTTCTTTTTTTTTTCAAATGAAATTTTCGAAATTTTTTTTAGACATTTGTTTTTTTTTCTTTTTTTTTAAATTGAATGAAAAAACTTTGAACATTGTAGCCGAAAAAGTTCTATAGACAACGAAATACTATAAACTTTTTCTACATAGTTTCCTGTCGAACACGTCGAAAGAAACAGCAAAAAACGTTTAGAAAATTCAATAGAAGTCTTTTAGAAAGTCTACAGAAATATCTATAGAATTCTTTTTGTTTTTCTATTACAAATTTTCATACGTGTTTAAATATACAAAACATCCCCAATTTGAACATTATCGGAAACATTACGGACAGCCCGAAGATTTCAGGGATGATAAAATCCATCGTTGATAATCGATGGCTACGGTCGCGCATCACCAGTGAGTATTTAAACTCGTGCTCCTGCGGCAAAATCACTCAGTAAAATTCGAGTGTTTAATCAGTGCAGACGACGAGTGAAATTCAAAAGTGCGTGAAAATGGAAAGTGCCAGCTTTAGGCGAAGGGGGCGGCGAAGAAACAGGAATGAGCTCCCAGCCTTGGACCGCATCTACGACGGACAACCTTACGCATTTGATGGGAAAGTTGGTCGTGATGGACGGTAAGTATTAACAATAATATTCTTAAGCTTTATGACACTAGAATCATTTTTAAATAGTCTAAAAATTTTTAAATAGAGAATGTTTAAATATTTTAATATTTTAATTTTTAAATAGAGTCTAAATCTAAAGAGAAAAAAATCGTGATTTTTTTTAGTTTTCAGAAAATTCAGAGTAGTTCGGTACACATCAAGAATATTTTTTAAAATTTGCTTTTGGGCCTGATTTCGGGCGTTAATAACTCCTCGATTAAAAATATAATTATACGATTATTATATTCGTAGCTCCCTCATTTGTGCGTATCGCAACCGCTGGAGGTGTTCGGGACGCGGGGTGTTATATGGACAAATTTTCAGGGAGACCCATGAACATAATCACCCCAGGAATTTTACTCAGGAAGAGACGGATATTTTTCTACATGAATTATGTGTTTGCTGCACCCGGCAGTTCAGAAATCTGAATGATATTTACGACAGAATGGAGGATCTGTAAGTATTTAATTGAAAGGTATTATCCTCCTACTGGTGGGTAAACTACACGGAGATAATTTTTTTAAAAGAATTCAAATGCTGGTGCTGAAAAATTTAAACCTACTAAAAACGAAAAATTTGAGTTGCGTTCGGCAAAAAAATCGCGTTTTTTCCCAGAAAATTTCTGAGCAAAAATTTATGAAAAGTCAATGGCGAGGACAATATCCCATAGTGACGAAAAATAGCCCCCTCCCTTCACCATCGGCTCGGGCAGTGATTTTTCACGTAGTCAAGCCAGGCAATGAATATAAAAAGTTATATATTAAAAAAAAAATGCAGCTGTTCCGGGGCTTTTTCGGTGCTAAAACCTTTTCTTGAAGAGAACTCCGCAACCCCTCCTTAGTAACTTATTCGTTACGAAATTTGCAACTTCACCTTGTTACTTTCTATTTATTGAACATAGTCATCCAGAAGCAGCTGCAACCCTGGATTACGAGGCAGTGAGGGAGCGTATGAGACGATGGAGAAATTCAATGGATTTGCCATCCATTAACGAATCATACGCAACTTTGTATGAGAAGTTGTCCAATGATTATTCCTCACTGCTTTGGTGTCGAAACGGGCGGTTGGAGGTTGACTTATACAATGCGGGGGGACTCGCAGAGGTGTTGACTCTTGTTGATGACGATCTTCTCCGCATTATTGACCTAGAGACAATCACAGCTATCGTAATTACATCAACAACGAGTTGGCACACGAGCCTGCTCCCTATCAATGACGTTATCCTAGTTGCGTGTGTCAGTGGCAAACATGTGAGTGTCCATTGCAGATTTCTTAATTTCTTTGGAATAATTAAAGGGATTTCTATGTAATTTTGTGGAAGGAAATTAGAACATAGTTTATGGTTCTTTGCGCGTCCATTAAAAACAACGTTGCAATATTCTACAAATTTCCTTAAACTTAAAAAATTTTGAATTTTCTTATTGAATTATTTTCTCTGGACGGGCTTTAACGCATTGAAAAAAAAAATCGGGTAATTAGAATTGGGATTATCTCAAAGAGAAGAGTGGTGATTTGTCAAGTGTAGTTTTTGAGGGTTAAAATAAAAAGAAAATAACAATATTTTTTTTTATTTAATTCACTAAGATAAGTTAGGATAAGATTTTGTTTAATTCATTAAGAAACTAAAAAATAACGAAAAAAA